TCTCGTTGAAAAAATCCTTTTCAAAATCTGCTATTGAGAATAGAAAATATGTCTGTGAAAATTTAATCAAACATTCATTTCACTAGCAGTTACTAATGATGTGTTTTTAGAATATTCATCCCATATAAATAAATTTTAAGAAATTGATGTTTCATATAGGGTAAAATTTTTAAATACCTTTTTTGATGTATGAGAATATTATTTTCGAAAAGAAATGTTTGACTTATTTTAATATTCGTTAGTTTTATAATCAATCAATAAAACACAACAAGATGATAAATTTGTACGAATAGGCACCATGCCATGGCAGGTGTCAACGAAAATGAAGAGAGAGTAAATTGAAACCTAAAAACTTCATAAACAAGCTTATTTCTTTAAAAAAAAGAACAAGAAAAACTTCTCGATCATTCAACAAGAGTTGTTTGATTTTTTTCTCTCTCTTTTACCTCTTCATCTTTTTCTCTACAGATGTCCATGATACATTCGAGCAATCGCATGAACAGAAAAAAAGATGAACAGACCAGGTAAAAGAAAAGAACAAATTATATTTCATTAAAAGGAATATAGAAGTTCTATTGTTTTGCAACACTAAACTTATTGAATTAAAAAATTTGCTTGTCACTAAATAGAAGCTATGTTCTGGAAGAACTTTACGTAATTATATATTTGCGTCATTTATTTTATTCATGCAGTTTTATTCATGTGCAATATGATCCAAATTTTTCCCGCGGTTCGCATACTTATTTTCGACAAAAAAATTCTCGTTTAACGTGCAAGCCGCCTAATTCCTTCGAAGATGACGTCTTTTTATAATCTTCTCTAGCTCTCACACAACACTAGAATACGAAAAAACAACTTTAACAAAAATATTTCTTCATTTGATTGTCATATTGTATTGATGATTTTCCTGTTTTTTTGTCACATACAGAGACAAATATTCTCAAAAACAAAAGATTTCGGATAAAGATCAATACATATGAATCAATTTAAAACCAACTCTAACGATGATTGATGATATTGCATTTGAATAATCACTTGATACAATTCAGATGTTAATGAGAGGGAAGAAAATATACTAGAAAAAAGGCAACGGTACTTCGCAGTTAACAATATCTAAGCGAGCAAATAATAAGTTGTCAAAAATAAAAATGCTGCGCAAAGACTTTTTATTCTTGATAATCAGTTGATTCTTTTAATAGAAATTTGTTAGAAAAATTCTTTTAAATCACGTAACGNCTGAATTCCTGTGATTTCTAAAGATATTCTATCACTATGAGAGTAGAGTCAGTGGTCACAGGATAGGGTCGTATACAGTGTGGTCCATGCTAACTTAGTACGCCTGTATTTTCTCCTTGCAATTTAGTGATAGAAAACACAGTGAATATACCTTTTCACTTTTTGAAGTACACATAACACTCGGATTTAAATCCGAGGTTTTCGCATTTATTTAAAATCTACTGTTGAGAATAGAAAATATGTCTGTGAAAATTTAATCAAACACTCATTCCACTAGCAGTTACTAATGATGTATTTTTAGGATATTGATCCCACATAAATAAATTTTAAGATTTTGATATGTTTCATATCGGGTAAAATACCTTTTCTGATGTATGAGAATATTAATTTCGAAAAGAATTATTTGGTTTATTTTTAATATTTGTTAGTTTTATAATCAATCAATAAAACACAACAAGATGATAAATTTGTACGAATAGACACCATGACAGATGTCAACGAAAATGAAAATAGAGTAAATTGAAAACTAAAAACTTCATAAATAACCTTATTTCTTTAGAAAGGAAAACCAGAAAAACTTCTCGATCATTCAACAAAAGTTGTTTGATTTTGTTCTCTCTCTTTTTTACCTCTTCATCTTTTTTCTCTACTCATGTTCATGATACATACAAGCAATCGCATGAACAGAAAAAAGATGAATAGATCAGACAAAAGAAAAGAACAAATTATTTTTTCATTGAAGGAATATAGAAGTTCTATTATTTTGCAACACAAAACTTCTTGAATTAAAAAATTTACTTTTCACTAAATAGAAGCTATGCTCTGGAAGAACTTGACGTAATATATATATATATTTGCGTCATTTATTTTATTCATGTGCAATATGATTCAAATTTTTCCAGTGCTTCGTATACTTATTTTCGAGACAAAAAAATTCTCGTTCAACGTGCAAGCCGTCTAATTTCTTTGAAGATGGCGTCTTTTTGTAATCTTCTTTAGCTCTCACACAACATCAGAATACAAAAAAAAAAAAACAACTTTAACAAAAATATTTCTTCGTTTGATTTTCATATTGTATTGATGATTTTGCTGTTTTTGTCACATACAGAGATAAATATTCTCAAAAAGAAAATATTTTGAATAAAGATCAATACATATGAATCAATATAAAATCAACTCTAACAATAATTGATGATATTGTATTTGAATATTCACTTGATACAATTCAGATATTAATGAGAGAGAAGAAAAATATACTAGAAAAAAAAATGCAACAATACTTCGTATTTAACAATATCTAAGCGAGTAAATAATAAGTTGTCAAAAATAAAAATGCTATGCAAAGACTTATTATTCTTGATAATCAGCTGATTTTTTTTTTAAATAGAAATTTGTTAGAAAATTTCTTTTAAATCATGTAACGAGATTTTTTCAACTTCTAATTTAGACAATAAAAAAGAATAGTCTTGGTTAGATTTTTCTTCATTTATTTATTTTGAATAGTCTTCAATTAAATTTTTGGTATATTTTGAAAAATAATTTTAAGTAAATCAATATTTATCTATTTCATTTTTAATATCTTCTTCATGATAAGACCGAAATCATTTCACATGTACTAAAATCAGAATAACTATTATTACATTTTTACATTCAGTGTTTTTTTTGCTCGAACGATAAAATATATAAACGCGTATGTCATAAGTAAAACTACTCATGAACGCCCTCTTTTAAATTTTAGAGGCGATATGTAATTTTAGTGCAATGGCGGTATATAGACAGAAGGAAGTTGGTATACCTTATCTCAACCTTTTATTTCTCGATTGATGTCAACTATTCGAGTTCGTTGTTTATTACAACAATGTACAAAAGCTACATTACGTCTTCAAGATGAATCAGAAGTTACTGTAAGTTATTTATTGAATTGAAATAAAAAGATTTATTTATTATTGAAGATTAATCGTGGTATAATCATATTTGTGGCTTTTTTAAAACATGCTCAATTAGATGATGTGAATAAATTAGGTATGAAGAAAAGAAAAAAAATTATTTCTTATTATTGAAAATTATTTAATTTAAAAATTTAGCAAAAGAAATTGCTACAGTAAGATTATGTGAAAGTGATGATGGATTAAAAACAATTGTTGATTTACCTGGTGATGTTTTAATTATTCCACAAGCAACATTAGGTGGTCGTCTTAATGGACATCGTTTTCAATATCATAATAATATAAATAGAGATATTGGTCTTGAATTTTATGATAAATTTGTTTCAAATTTACGTGAATTATGTAATCAAAATAAAGATAATATTGTTCATGCAGGATCATATGGAATAAAACAAATATATTCATGTGAAACGAATGGACCTGCTATGCATCTAATTGAATTTTAATAAAATAAAATATATTGATTAATTTAACTTTTAGATGATTGAATGAGATTAACTTCGATTATATTTAAAGTAACTATGCATCGAGTGCTTAATGTTGCTGAGAAGAATGATGCAGCTAAATCATTAGCTCGTCTTCTTTCAAGAAATTCGGCATCTATGGTAAAAATAGATTTTTATTTATATTTTAAATAAGATTTATATAGGCTTTTTTTTGTTTCTTCTAGCGTGAAGGTTTCTCAAGATTTAACAAAATTTATGAATTTAATTATCAACTTTTTAATCAACCAGTACAAATGAGTTTTACATCTGTTTCGGGTCATATTATGAATTGTGATTTTACAGCAGTACACAATAGTTGGTATGAAAAAGAAATATTTATATTAGAATTCTGATATAAATTTAATCGAAAGATGACAAAGAAGTTTTCGCACTAGTGGTTTATTCAGTTTGAGTTAGAGACCAGATGAAGAGTATAAAAGAAATAAATTTAATTCTAGTCTAATTTTTTCTTTGACTGTTATAAACAATCTTTACCTTATTACTCACAATCAGGGTTGCCAACTGTACCCCACAAAAATCTGTACCCCTGGGGTACACATTTTGTACCCCATTTGGACGGTTCCTTTTACATTGTAAATGAATCATCTTCGAGCAGTGTTAATCAAATTTTTTCTTTTAGCTAGTGTCGTTTTTTATAGGGATATGAAGCTTAAATCATATTGACTGGATAGTAACTAGTGATTGTAGGCAACCGNTTGCTTATTGATTCTGATCTTGACAGACTCAAAAACTCAGAGTCGAACCAACCCAAATCAAAACTTGATTGTAAATCCAAAATTGCAAAAGATTTTTAAAAAATTTTTTTCTGATAGGATAACAATATTGTTTGATTTATATTAAATGGAATTGAAACCTAAATGTTGTCACATAAATAATTCAAAAGAGAGTTTTGATTATTTGTCCATATGATAAAATCGACTTTCCTCAATATTTGAGGACCAGTTTAAAATCTGCTTTTGTCACACAAATGACGAAACATAAATTAATTAGTTATTCTGTAAAAAATTAAATAAGAAATATTTGAATTCTAATAGCAAATTATCAACTTAGTCAGCAGTTGATTTTCGAGATAATGAACTAAAAGATGAAGCTACAAAGTCAACACTGTTATCCTTCTAGATGTAAAATATTTGTCTATGTAGGTCTTTCTGGAAGAAATATAATATAGATATTAGATATTCATTCAGTCAGATGCACAAAGCTTAAGTTCTGACTAGGAATCTTATCTTATAAGAAAACGTACTGGGCTTGAAGATTTAAAAATTATTATTATGAAACTTCTCATAAGACAAATATATAAAAGATCAACTTTTTTCGTATTATTCAGAATGATTTTTGAATGCATAAATATCTAGTCAATGTTGAACACTAAAATTTCCTTTTTTAAAATCTATTGTTGACAATTTTGATTCATCTAATTGATATTTACAACTATAAGAAGCTTCTAAGTGAATAAAAAGAAAGAAACGAGAAATTATTCTTGAGAAAGATTGAGATCTTTTAGTTTGAGAAGAATTTATAATTCCCTGATTTGTCTTGCAAACACAGAAGACAAATATTTCATTTACAACACATGCTAGATCAATCGATAAGGTGACTTATTTTTTATATCTATAAGCTTTATCGGGCAAAGTTCACATCTTATAAAGATTCAGAGTATCGTAAGGTAGTGTGTGAATTGCGTTCAGGTAATGACTCCACGGAAAAGCTCGTCAGAAAGTTAAAAAATATGATTTCAACTTGAAAAATGATATCTTACAAATCAGCACAATTATCACAAGATAACTATAGTTGCATTTGTCATATCTTTTATTTTTCACATATGCGCACGTGCACACATCTGAATCTTTATAAGAGTTTGAAGAAAAGCAATAATACGAACAAGAAGAAGAATGACTGTTATTATTGATTAAAACAGAATATAAACGATTTCATTAAAATTAAAGGACTCGAGAAAGACTCGGTTTTTTTGGGAAACTGATTCTTTCAGCAGCATAACATATGAAAAACACTCCACAAATATGTGCTACATTATTGATAATCATATCAATAATGCCAATTGAACATGCAATAATAGACAGTAACACTACCATAGAAAACTAAAGTTAGATATACGATTACACGAACACCATGGAGCATATGACTAGATGACGTCAATGAAACCGAATCAAATTTTTACATCAATTCTATGGGAAATTTTTGCTAGAAAAAAGAAACAAATTGCATTCTTATCAGTTAAGCAATTTCTATAAAGTATCTTTTTTTTTTTTGGATTTATTCTCAATAAGCAGGACTTATTAAAAATAATCAGACTATAGGCTGAAGAAAGAATCTAAGATGTAAAGTGTAACTATATGTGAGCACGTTTTACTTTTTTTCTCAACAACATCATATCTTATGTAAGCGTATATGTAATGTGGATTAGACATGAGACGTTTTTATATTTGATAAGTTTCTTTCATGTAACAACTTTGGAAGTGCTAATGAAAGAAAGAGAACGAATAAGCTTCTAATGTTTCAAATGGTATGTTTTATTGATGTCAGTACAAAAGAAAGGACATAGAAAAGAGATTACATTTTTTTTTGGATCATATAAAGAGTGCAAATAGACAATAGACTCCATCAATATATTTTTTCAGACTTGATACAAGCTTCAAATACTCGTTCGAAAATAAAAGTGTCCTATATAATTAGGATTTTAAGTTTTCGTGAGACTATTCCACTTATTCATAACGAATACTTGAATTAATATTTTTTCCGAGTTTTATTTTTGGAAAAATTGCTCAAATATCATCAAGACCAGCACGATGGAAAGTTTTCTTTTCTCCTCTTTGATTACCTGGACACCTAATATGAGAATAAACAAATTTGATCATGCTCATGTCAACCCAAACCATATATGATGAAAGAATGATAACTAGCAAAAACACAATTGCAAAGAAATTCAGAAAGCAAAAAAGATCTGCACATGTCATGCATGATTACGAATGATGCTGAAATACGACAGTATATCATCGTTTACTACAGGATCACATACGATCGTAATACAATGTATAATTGAAAACGATCACTTATGACCGTTTTTTATTCGATATGATCAATGAACTCTTATAGTCTCAATATTTCACTAGTTTATAATCATCTTATTAGCTTAAATTTTGTGTTGTTATGATCTTACCAAGTTGTTATTTGTGTTTTTGATGATTATTGACTGGATAGGAATTTTTTTCTTATTTTCTCAAAAGATTTTTCACTTAAGAAAAACATTCATCGATAAAA